GGGCCCCCTCACAGCCCGCAGGCTGCAGCACCTCTGCTTTCTAGCACTCAGCTCACAACTGATTTTTTCGGTTTCAGCTCCCAAAAGGTCTTTGAGTAGCTTAAGGAAATAGTCAAAGCATTTCAATAGTTTAAGACAAAGACGACACAGGAAAAAAGTTTTAACCCAAAACTTTCTAAATCTTAACACACATCTACAAGCAAATGTTTATTTACTCATTACTTCTGTCAGCTGAGATTTATTTTGAAATTTTAAAAGCCAGCCTTGAACACTAAGATTCCTCATTTTATTCAAAGACTGATTTCCCAGGGTTTTTAGCGTTACTAGATTTTCAGCATTTGTACCACAGACAACATTCTATACTTCATATTTACAGGTACAAATATTCAGCAAGTAGTCACAAATATTCTGAATAGAGTGGATTACTGAGAAAAAACAATTATCACAACACATTTCTGATCTTGTAGTCGGATCAACACAGATCATGTCCCTCTGCACAAAAAGCCATCAGCACTCATTAGCAGTTCACTGGCAACGGTTTTGGCATTCCCGATAGATTTTATTTCATTTAAAATAATCGCTACAAATACAATCCTTTTTAGCTTATAAGTATTACTCCAAAACTGTAAACAGCTTAGCTAATTCCTGCTATTCCACCGAGCTCCAGGACTGGTTTATGTAAGACCTTCTGTTAATGATACTTCATTATAATAAGGACAAAAACATCTCATTTTGCAATCTTCGTATTAAATTTCATGCATGTCTAAGTAAGGTATATTCTAAGATGAAACAGTATTCAGAGAGCACCTAGTCTCACAATTTGTGTCTTTCACCTTATACCAGCAGGAAGCATTTGCCTATAACTTAGGTTGCACGTACAGAAACTGGAATACAATTAACGCTCTATTATCCATGAGAAGATTATGTAAATTGTGGGTTAAGCAGGGTCAGTTTTTTTTACCGAAACAACTCTGGCTTCCACAAAGTACAGTGCTCCTTCTGCAAGACCCTGTACCACAAGCTGTTGCTAAGTAAGGCCGACCGTGTTCCCCCACAGAAAGCTAGCCACAATTTTTTAAAAAGGTGTAGCGCTGTCATTTCATTTACATTATTTATCTTACCCTTTTCCCCCTTTATGTAGGTTATCTCTTCCCCTCCATCAGTTATTACTATGAAGAGGGTAGAACTGACCGTTTCTACAACAAATACTCAATTTTCAGATCTTTTGATTTAAAAATCCTCTGCAGCCGCCCAGGACTCAAACCGACACTTTATTTGAAACGCTTGTCAAACATTTTTGTTCGCAACTGTTTCATGAGCTGTTGGAGAATACAAAAAAACCCCGAACACAACACACCAGCTTTCAAGGGGAAGTACCACTACGATACCCTCCCCAACCTGTCTGCCCCACACACGGTGACCACCAGAGAAGCCAGTACTCCAACTGGTGAGGGGTTCCCTGGGAGCCCAGACTGGTCTTCGGGTACTAAACCAGGGCTGTTCAGGGCTTTTGGGAATTCCAGAGGTGCTGTGGGGGAAGATGAAGTTTAGTTTCACACGGGAACTGGATTAAAAGTAAGATAGGAGATGTCAGCAAAACACAGTTCTTGTCCTCTCAGCTCACACCACCAAGAAAACATTTCACTCACAGATCTTTAACAATCAGAAGAAAAAGCACAACTCAACTTTTGTCCAAGCTGAAGTCGAGATAAGTTACCAGAAAACCAGCATGCATGATGAGCCACCTCAACAGCAGCACAGTTAACAGACACCGTATATTTTGTAAAATCTTTTCATAGATAAAAAATATAAACTTCTTGGGTTTTTTTCCCTAAGCACATGAAAAGTCTGTCGAAAGCATGTGGACAAAAAGCTTCAAAAAAGTGGTAGTAGATGACAAAACCCAACCAAGTCAAAACACAGCCTGAGAATCCACAATGAAGTGGCGGCGGGGGGGAACAAAACCAAACAGCACACCCCTTTCGGTCTGCCCCCAAAGAACACCGATAACTCACACGAAGTTCACACATCCCATTCTGAACATACCAAAGTGACAGCATACGTGATGCTGAAATTCTTTAGTCATTGACATGGCTATGAAATCAGATTCTAAACAAGAATCCTGCACTGCGCAGGATTGTGGCTTTGATGAACAGTTCAAGTCAGGCAATTTTGTAATTAGAAACAACAGAAGAAATAGAAAAGCAGACAGATTAAGTGCCTTGACAGACACCACAGATAAGATCAGTGGACAAAAAGCAGAGTTACTGCTCAAATCCTGGCTCTGTGTTTAATAAATTAAGTCTCATCTGCACCACTTACAACATATCCCTTGTTTCATTGTCAATATTTGTAAAAACATCGGGTTTTGCTGCTTAAAAAGACTCTGGAAAATGGTTGGCTTACATGATAACATTCCCTGTGGCTGAGGTGTTTTTTCCTGGCTTTGGTGGTTTTTTTGTTTCGTTTTTAAGTTTAACATAAATTTGCCAAACTCAGATTAAATTATAGGAACAACTATAACTCCAGAATACCCTTCTTTCAGTATCAAATTCGCTGTAAGGATATAGCTCAACAAGCATTTTAAGCAAGCATAAGCCTGATATCAGCTCTAAATGCTTCCTCACCACATTTGGGGAGGCACATGGGGAACCAGATTGGAGAATTGCTCCAGCTGGAAACTAACATACCAAAATTATACCGATTATTTTCAGCCACAGCATCTTCTTGACTTAGCTTACTGCCTGGCTGCCAAAAACCCTGTTTCTTCTGCCAGGGGATATGTGAAAACACGGACAAATCCAGTAATAAAAGCAACATCTTTTCCTCCTGTGGCAGCAACAACTTATGCCACTGTAAAGTATTTATGTAGCTATGGATTAAAGAAGGTATGATATTCTTTCCTGCCAACACAATTCTTTCTCTGGCCACAAACTAATCTGTCTGCCAAGTGATTCAGTCTTAAGAAACACTTTCTGTTATTTTTTTTTAAAATAAAACAATTTCACAGAACTTAGGTAGACAATGAGACTGTGCACAGCTGAACTGGGAGACAGGAGAGCACTTCTGAGATAGTAAGAGATCATTTTAAAACCAATCTACTGCCAAAGTAACAGAACCAGTCTCAAAAAAGGCCTTAGCTCAAGAGTATGACAGTTCTCAAGGAAAATTTTTGAAAAGGGGAAAAAAAACCCCTCTCTTTATATATATACACACACATATATGTATTTCTAACTTAGCTTTAGATTTCAGAAAGCAATATTGCTTTGCCAGGATTTTGTAACCTCCACTTCATCCTTGTCTCCCCCTCTCCTTCTCTTCCCCTCTTTCAGAGTCAACCTCAAAATAAGAATGATGCAAATGGAGACGCAAGAACAAACACACTAAGGAGTTTGAAATGAAACATTTACTCTACTTTTAATTTATTGTATTTTAATCATCAAAGGAGCTGGTGCATGTCAGTCACTGACAATGCACTTAATTACTGCATCTAGCTATGCAGATTTAGCATATTTATTTACTGTTTCTCATAACTTAATGTCCAAAGACAAGGCTTTATGTTGGCTTATAAAGAAAAGAAATAGTTACCACTGCACCCTGATGTAAGTTTTATAGTGCAGATGGCAGGTCATAACACCTCTTCAGGTTCAATTTATGCTCCTCAGAGCTTTAGAAATGCTGTTAGAGGCGCCAGGAATTTGACTACAGAGCCAACCGTAGCTCCAAAGATTAGTGCTCCGGTTATGTGGAGACACCAATTTAAACTCGAGTACTTTTTAAGCACAACTCTTGCTATAAAGTGTTTGTGGGCA